TATTATGTGCCCCTACTCTTGCGTTTTATTATTTATTTATATTATTGTTTAATATATTGTGTATATAAAAATAAATATATATATATAGAGTGTTGTTTTTATATAATGTGTATAATAAATAAATATATTTATAAATAGTATTGTTTTAATATATTATATGTGCATAATAAATAAATATATATTGTAGTGTTTTTATTTATTGTATATTATATAGTTTATATATTAAGATATGTTTTTTTTTGTTTTTTACATTTTTTAAATTGTTTTGCGATTTTAATATTTGTATTCATTTTAATAAACCATTTTGCATATTACTTGTTTTTGTGTGCATTCATTTAAAGTTATTACATAAAGAAATATAACACATATAAATATATATATATATATATATATATATATATATATATATATATAGTATAGTATATATTTATATATTAATACATAAATATATATAATATACTTATATATACATAAACATGCATACATATGTTTAATTGAAACATTTTTATTCATTTTTAATTAACGTAATATGCTTTTTAAGAACAATATCCACATAATAATAGTAATATCAATATAATTGCCTGTGTTACGTCAGTAAAATTTCAATAAGAGCGCAGCTGATTGGCTCCGCTGAAACCGACACTGATTGGATATTGTGTTACACAGATTGTGTGTTCGAATCCAGCACGCAAAAAATGACATTTAGAGTGACATGCAATATGCAACCAAAATACCACATTATGCACAGTCACAAAGCCGCGAACACTACTGCAAGCGAAATTTGTCGCATTTTTCCGTTTTTTTGCGGCTTGTTCGCTTGTGAGTGAGCAAGATGATTGCACCCCTTCCTATGCTTAAGCGAGCGCTCTACCATTTGAGCTAATTCCCCTTGGAAAAATTCAAATTGGTAGTTTTTGGTGTGGTCAAAAAAAAAAAAAAAAAGATCACATCTGCTCTGTGGTGGCCTCTTTGCCCTGCCTGCCGTTTAGTCGTCAAATTGCCTGGAATAGCGCGCTTTTCTTTTGAAGGCCCTACCTATTCCTGCTCCAGTAAACGTGTTAGGAGCCCTGCATGCCGAATGACTCAGAATGACTCAGTTACTCAGATATCAATGCACATTGGCACCACCTTGGATTGACATTCTGCTACTTTCCTGCAAGGCTGTTTTTTTTTTTATTCATTCCCTACAGCTCTGACAGCATCACACAACAAGCTTGAGGTTCCATGGTGTAATGGTGACCACTCTGGACTCTGAATCCAGCGATCTGAGTTCAAATTTCAGTGGGACCTGTTATTTTGCCAGCACCGCACAAAAAAAGCTGGAATAGAATGTTAATCTCTTGAAGGCCAGGGAATGACAGTTACTCTGGGCTTTCTAGTGCTTTAGGCAGGAAGTGGCCGGTTAGCTCAGCTGGTTAGACTATGGTGCTAATAATGGCAAGGTTGTGGAATCGATCCCTGTACAGGCCAAGCTCTTACTCTCTTAGGCCTCAGATGCATTTAAGGGCTCTGCTCGGTCTTACACACGTCTATGCTGCAGAAAAACTATGAAACGGCAGCTGAAATAGCTCAGTTGGGAGAGTGTTAGACTGAAGATCTAAAGGTCCCTGGTTAGAGGTCCAGGGTTTGGTAAAGTAGTGTTGTTTTTCAGTTTTGGGCACAAGACTTAGGTGACCGAAAGTCACCCAAAAAGCCTAGCTGCTGCACCCTTAAGTCCAACTGCTTCCACTTGACCAAAAAGCTATCTTACTTCCAGATGGTCACGTCGCTTCTAGGGACGATTGAATCAGGAGAGTTTCAATTTAAACCTTTTTCGCTTTAAAAAGGCATGAAAACAGAGGTGGAGAATGCAGGCATTGTTCCCGCTACCTCTCGCATGCAAAGCGAGCGCTTTACCATTTGAGCTAATTCCCCTCAGAGAAATCAAAAAATTGGCGATTTTCGACGTGGTCAAAATAGAAAAAAAAGATCAAATTTTGTCTGTGGTGGCCTCTTTGCCCTACCTGCCGTTTAGTCGTCAAATTGCCTGGAATAGTGCGCTTTTCTTTTAAAGGCCCTACCTGGTCCTGCTCCAGTAAACATGTGAGGAGTCCTGCATGCTGAATGACGAGTTACTCAGAAATCAATGCACATTGGTACTGCCTTGTATTGACATTCTGCTACTTTCTGGCAAGGCCGTTCTCTTTTTTTTTTTTTTTTTACTTTTTTTTCTCTTTAGCCCGGGCAGCACGAACCAGAAGACTTGAGGTTCCATGGTGTAATGGTTAGCACTCTGGACTCTGAATCCAGTGATCCGAGTTCAAATCTAGGTGGGACCTTGTTTTTTTACCAGCACTGCACAAAAAAAGCTGGAATAGCATTCTTATCTCTTGAAGGCCGAAAAATGACAGTTACTCTGAGCTTTTTAGCAAACATGGCAGAAAGTGGCCGGTTAGCTCAGCTGGTTAGAGCGTGGTGCTAATAACGCCAAGGTCACGGGTTCGATCCCCGTACTGGCCAAACTTTTACCCTTTAAGGCCTCAGAGGCATTTCAGGATTCTGCTTAGTCTCACAGACATGTATGCTGCAGAATACTTGTGAAAGGGCAGACGAAATAGCTCTGTTGGGAGAGCGTTAGACTTAATATTTAAAGGTCCCTGGTCCGATCCTGGATTTCAGCAAAACAGTGCTGTTGTTCTATTTTGTGCACAAGGGTCAGGTGACTGAAAGTCACCCAAAAAGCCTAGCTGCTTCACCCTTAAGTCCACCTGCTTCCACTTGACCAAAACGCTATTTTCCTCCCAGATAGTCACATTGCTTCTGGCGATGATTCCAATGGCCTGATCGACAGCACTCTATAATGCTATGTATTTAGCGCTTTGATGTCCCACTGCGGACACGCTGCTAAATAAAAGAAAACTGACTTGATAGGGCTTCTGAAGGCTTGCAATGATATGTACTACACGGAAACAGGCAAAGCTGACGTAAGTAGTTTCGCTTTAAACCCTCAAGGTGCCACCAGCTTTGCAAAAAAAGCCAATGTAAAAAGGCATTAAAAACAGAGGTGAAGAATGCAGACATTGTTCCCGCTACCTCTAGCATGCAAAGCGAGCGCTTAACTATTTGAGCTAATTCCCCTCAGAGCAATCAAAAACTGACGATTTTCGACGTGGTCAAAATAGAAAAAAAAGATCACATTTGCTCTGTGGTGGCCTCTTTGCCCTGCCTGCCGTTTAGTCGTCAAATTGCCTGGAATAGTGCGCTTTTCTTTTGAAGGCCCTACCTGGTCCTGCTCCAGTAAACGTGTGAGGAGCCCTGCATGCCGAATGACGAGTTACTCAGAAATCAATGCACATTGGCACTGCCTTGTATTGACATTCTGCTACTTTCTGGCAAGGCCGTTTTCTTTCTTTCTTTTTTTTTTTCTTTTTTTTCTCTTTAGCCCGGGCAGCACAAACCAGAAGACTTGAGGTTCCATGGTGTAATGGTTAGCACTCTGGACTCTGAATCCAGTGATCTGAGTTCAAATCTCGGTGGGACCTTGTTTTTTTACCAGCACTGCACAAAAAAAGCTGGAATAGCATTCTTATCTCTTGAAGGCCGGAAAATGACAGTTACTCTGAGCTTTTTACCAAACATGGCGGAAAGTGGCCGGTTATCTCAGCTGGTTAGAGTGTGGTGCTAATAACGCCAAGGTCCCGGGTTCGATCCCCGTAATGGCCAAACTTTTACCCTTTAAGGCCGCAGAGGCATTTCAGGATTCTGCTTAGTCTCACATACATGTATGCTGCAGGATACTTGTGAAAGGGCAGACGAAATAGCTCTGTTGGGAGAGTGTTAGACATAATATTTAAAGGTCCCTGGTCCGATTCTGGATTTCAGCAAAACAGTGCTGTTGTTCTATTTTGTGCACAAGGGTCAGGTGACTGAAAGTCACCCAAAAAGCCTAGCTGCTTCACCCTTAAGTCCACCTGCTTCCACTTGACCAAAACGCTATCTTCCTCCCAGATAGTCACATTGCTTCTGGCGATGATTCCAATGGCCTGATCGACAGCACTCTATAATGCTATGTATTTAGCGCTTTGATGTCCCACTGCGGACACGCTGCTGAATAAAAGAAAACTGACTTGATAGAGCTTCTGAAGGCTTGCAATGATATGTACTACACGGAAACCGGCAAAGCTGACATAAGTAGTTTCGCTTTAAACCCTCAAGGTGCCACCAGCTTTGCAAAAAAGCCAATGTAAAAAGGCATTAAAAACAGAGGTGGAGAATGCAGACATTGTTCCCGCTACCTCTAGCATGCAAAGCGAGCGCTTAACCTTTTGAGCTAATTCCCCTCAGAGCAATCAAAAACTGACAATTTTCGACGTGGTCAAAATAGAAAAAAAAGATCAAATTTGCTCTGTGGTGGCCTCTTTGCCCTGCCTGCCGTTTAGTCGTCAAATTGCCTGGAATAGTGCGCTTTTCTTTTGAAGGCCCTACCTGGTCCTGCTCCAGTAAACGTGTGAGGAGCCCTGCATGCTGAATGATGAGTTACACAGAAATCAATGCACATTGGCACTGCCTTGTATTGACATTCTGCTACTTTCTGGCAAGGCCGTTTTCTTTTTTTTTTCTTCTTTTTTTTTTTTTACTTTTTTTTTCACCTTAGGCCGGGCAGCACCAACCAGAAGACTTGAGGTTCCATTGTGTAATGGTTAGCACTCTGGACTCTGAATCCAGTGATCCGAGTTCAAATCTCGGTGGGACCTTGTTTTTTTACCAGCACTGCACAAAAAAAGCTGGAATAGCATTCTTATCTTTTGAAGGCCGGAAAATGACAGTCACTCTGAGCTTTTTAGCAAACATGCAGAAAGTGGCCGGTTAGCTCAGCTGGTTAGAGCGTGGTGCTAATAATGCCAAGGTCGCGGGTTCGATCCCTGTACTGGCCAAACTTTAACCCTTTAAGGCCTCAGAGGCATTTCAGGATTCTGCTAAGTCTCACAGACATGAATGCTGCAGGATACTTGGAAAGGGAAGCCGAAATAGCTCAGTTGGGAGAGCGTTAGACTGAAGATCTAAAGATCCCTGGTTCGATTTGGGTTTTGGCAAAACAGTCATGTTGTTCTATTTTGTGCACAAGGGTAAGGTGACTGAAAGTCACCCAAAAGCCTAGCTGCTTCACCCTTAAGTCCACCTGCTTCCACTTGACCAAAATGCTATCTTCCTCCCAGATGGTCACGTTGCTTCTGGCGATGATTCCAATGGCCTGATCGACAGCACTCTATAATGCTATGTATTTAGCGCTTTGATGTCCCACTGCAGACACGCTGCTGAATAAATGAAAACTATGATTTGATAGGGCTTCTGAAGGTTTGCAATGATTTGTACTACACGGAAACCGGCAAAGCTGATGTAAGTAGTTTCGCTTTAAATTCCCAAGGTGCCACCAGCTTTGCAAAAAAAGCCAATGTAAAAAGGCATGAAAACAGAGGTGGAGAATGCAGGCATTGTTCCCGCTACCTCTAGCATGCAAAGCGAGCGCTTAACCATTTGAGCTAATTCCCCTCAGAGCAATCAAAAATTAGCAATTTTCGACGTGGTCAAAATAGAAAAAAAAGATCAAATTTGCTCTGTGGTGGCCTCTTTGCCCTGCCTGCCGTTTAGTCGTCAAATTGCCTGGAATAGTGCGCTTTTCTTTTGAAGGCCCTACCTGGTCCTGCTCCAGTAAACGTGTGAGGAGTCCTGCATGCCGAATGACGAGTTACTCAGAAATCAATGCACATTGCCACCGCCTTGTATTGACATTCTGCTACTTTCTGGCAAGGCCGTATTATTTTTTTTTTTTAACATTTTTTTTTCTTTAGCCGGGGCAGCACCAACTGGAAGATTTTTATTAAGCTTGGCAGTAAGTGGCCGGTTAGCTCATACTGCCACCTGTAAGTCGTGGTTATTCTTGGTTACACCGGCCAATCACTTTGTGAGCTGGAACCAAGATTCACCCTATTCTTGGTTAAGGCAGCCAATCGTGTTCCGAGTTACAATGAACGCTATGGCCAATCAGAGCCCTTATACCATCCATGATTTGTACTGTAATAAAAGATTTCGACGCGGATTAATTCGGATACCAATTCCAAAGCAAGTATTTTTTTAACAAGGTGGTTTAAATTAATAACCATTACAGTAACGTTAATTACTACAACATAATTATTATATGATTGTTATAGATGTTTTATAACACCATTTGGTAAGATTCATGTTAGCCGACCAAGCAAACTGTACAGTTTTACTACAAACATTTTAATGCAGTTTTTAATTAATTAATATGGATCATGCATGATTACATCACTAATAATAAACCAACAATATAAGGGTCACACATCAATCCATCACTAATAATAATGTTATTATTATTAGTGATGGATTAAATTGTGACCCTTATATTATTGGTTTATTATTAGTGATGCAATCATGCGTGATCCATATTGTTTTATGCTTTATGATTAGTGATGTATTATGCGTGAGCATGTTTAGATTAGTTTATGATTAGTGATGTAGTGATATGTGAGCGTTATTATACTATTTGTTTATAATTAATGACTGATGAATTGAGCCTTATATTTATTATTAGTAAAGTGATTTATTAATGTGTGAGAATAATGCACGGGCATTATTGTAACTATGGTAGTAAATGACAATATAAAGTGAAGTAATGTATAATAACTGCATTAAAATGTTTGTAGAAAAACTGTACAGTGTGCTTGGTCGGCTAACATTAATCTTGACAAGCAACGTCATATAACATCTATAACAATCATATAATAATTGTGTTGTTGTAATTAATGTTACTGTAATGGTTATTCATTTAAACCAACTTGTTATAAAAATACTTACTTTGTAATTGTTGTCCGAATTAATCCACAACGAAATCTGTTAATACAGTACAAATCATGAATGTTATAAGGGCTCTGATTGGCCATAGCGTTCATTGTAACTTGGAACATGATTGGCTGCCGTAACCAAGAATAGGGTGAATCTTGGTTCCAGCTCGGGACAAGATTGGCCAGCGTAACCAAGAATTAAAAAAAATCTTGGTTCCAACTCGGACCGTGATTGGCCGGTGTAACCAAGAATAACCACGAATTACAGGTGGCAGTATGCGCCACTGGCCCAGTCTGCGTCAGCAGTGCTCATTAGCATGCTGCTTGGAAAGAGGACACGGCTCGGTCAACATGCAGTTCCTTCAACGCTTGCTGTGCTTTCTTGTCATGGCAAGTTGTGGTGTCGATAGGATGCTCTAACACAGAGCATGTGACAGTCCCTCCCAAGAAGAACTGTGATCCAGGCTCTGAGACTTTCTCTTCTCTAGGAGGAGGTTACAAATGTTAGAGTTATTTTTGTCAGAGCAGCTGCAGCACACCTGGGTGGAAGCCCACAGCTAGGCTTGATGGTCTAGCCTGGTGGTCTAGTAATTAGGATTCGGCGCTCTCACCGCCGCGGCCCGAGTTCGATTCCTGGTCAGGGAACTTCCTTTTCACCTCCATGGTGAACTTCGAGCAGTGGTGCCGATGATATCTTTGTAAAGGCAAGAAAGCTGCTTTGAGCACAAAAGACGTCCTTTGAGCTGGAGTCGAACCTGCGACCTAAGAATTGGTCCTACAGTCCTCCACTCTACCAACTGAGCTATCGAAGTCTTACATAGCAGTTCCACAACCACACCCTATAAGGTAGCTGCAGTCCGACCGCTGGCCAAAAAGAACAGGAGCAAAAGTACTTAAGCCTTCCCATACCGGGAGTCGAACCTGGGTCACCTGGGTGAAAATCAGGAATCCTGACTGCTAGACCATATGGAAATTGCCACTTTTGAAACCCAGTCTTGGCACAAACTCCAGTTCTTTCTGATCGCTGGCACATCCCTGCTCCGCTTGAACAAGTGCCACTCATACACTTACGCATTCTCTCATACAGTTTCTTGGTTTCCATAACCGAGAATCTTCTGATCCATAGTCATAAGCGCTATCCTTTGTGCCACTCTGTTCAGCACTTTGTTAGCACATTGCTTGAAGCAAGGACAAGGCTCTGTCAACCCGGAGTTCCTTCACCACACATTCTGCTTTGTTTTTTTATGGCAAGAGGTTGTGTGGATGGGATGCTCTTACAGGATTCCTGACAGTCCCTCCATAGAAGACCTGAGATCCAGGGTCGGAGACTCTCTCCTCTCCAAGAGGAGGTTAAAAGTCTTTTGTGTCTCTGTGTCAGAGCATTTAAGTGTTGCTGCAGCTCAGAGACCTACAAGTGGAGGAGATTACACTGCAAGTTGGCTGGATGACCTCTAAGGGGTCGGCAGTTATGCCACACGTAGGCTGGGTTTGCGATTGATGTAGCTGTAGTAGACATTCATAAAAATAAAAAAAATTAAAACTGGTTACTCTGAGGTTGTGTTTAGGGTTGGGGTAGGTGTAAAATTGAATAAAACATAGCGGGTTACTGTGAGGTTGGGCCTAGGGCTGGGGTAGGTGTGATTTTAATAAACTGCGATAGGTTGTATTCTGTGCCATGTACAAGACATTGAATCAATGAAACCCACATGGAGGTTTGTTACTGTGAGGTTGGGTTAAGAGTTGGGGTAGGTTGTGTTGTAAAATAGCAATGAGTTTTTTATTATTTTTGTCTCTTTTTCTTTTAATCAAACAATTATTTGTATTGGTCATGTAAGGGTCATATATTAACTGAACTTCTAATGTTGTGGGTGAGTGCTGTGCATACTAATTAGCATTTTTGCAGAAGTAGATAGATGCGGGTCCAAAATTAAATTCAGCTCTGCAGAAACTTCCTGTCTGAAGAGAGGTGTTAAAACTGAACACAGAACACAGAAAGATGTATACTTTGTTGTTGGGCAGAGAATTCGTAGAAAAAGAGGAAGTATGTCGAAGGGGCGGCCAATGGAGGACTGAACAATGACTGACAAGTGACGTTACACCAAAACTCCACCTGTTAAGATCGGTGGTGTATATATGCTGAAGTCAGGAAATGTATGTTAGTTGCGAACCTCTTGAATGTAATTCTTGTATTGCATTGGGGTAATGTAACCCAGAGCTCTGTCATCGAATTATTCATTTGTATCTAATAAATTACTAATATTTTTGACATTGAAGAAAAACCTCTCCAGACCTTTTTATATTGAACACGCATGGAATAGAGATAGATATTCCAACAATTTGGTGACCTCCGACGTGGAAAAGGGGGAGAGGAAGTTATTGATCTGTCGTATTGCATTGACATCATCGGCGCCGAAAAAATAAGGTAAGCAGAAAACCTGTTACATCGAATTTCTGCAATTGGCCTAATCTAAATTGTTTGATGTCATGTGATATGTAGGATTGATGTAGTTAAAAGTATAAGCATTTGAATAATTCGATGAGTTTAAATGTATATATTCTTTAAATGTTAACCAGTCTGTCAGAATAATATGAAGAAATAGATAGGGTAGTTTAGAATAGTATAGAATTGTGATTGTGTGTGGATAATTTGCTTCACTGAGGTTGTGACTCTTTAGAAAATACAGAGAAAAGTCGACTCTGTTAAGGTGTGGTTGATTAAACATACATAGAAAAGTCAACTCTGTTGAAGGCGAGTGTAAATATAAGAAGTGATTAGAAGTTGAGAATTGTGAAAAGCGCGCATTTTATTTTATGTAAATGTTTGTCTGTTGCGTTAGTGACTAACAGTTGAAATAAGCATAGTGTACAGATATTTAGCCGGCTGTATATAAGCGTATATGATATTCAATTAAATGTCATTTAGAATTGTGAAAGTTCAGTAATTGGGAAAGTGCAAGAAGTTTGCAGGTGAAAATTTGATTGTTGGAGGAGGATAAATATTTTTTGATTGTGTATGTGCAGTAAATGCAACATACAGAAGTTCATTAGTGTGTGTGAAAAACACTGTAAATTTGAGGAAGTGGAGGTGTGAAAAATGCACAAGTAATTCGATTAAGAATGTGAGCAATATGGAAAATGTCCCAGACAAAATTAAAAACTCAATGGGACAAGTGGTAAATGATTGGAACTAAGAAGAAAAAATGTGGCAAAGAAATGAGAAACAATATATG